AGTACTTTGGGAGGCCCTGAAGGTTGTTTTCTTTGGGACACTCAAGCAGGCACGTAGCCAGGATTTTCGCCCAGGAGGCCGCCTGCTCTCAAGGGGCCCACTGGTCACCCGGATGCCGCCGTCAACCCAGACAGGGGCGTATCCAAAACCTTTCGATGAGGGGATTGGGCACAATGGGTCCGGTCCCCCTTGCAGACGGGTACCTCTGTCTGTCTGCCTGTCTGTCTGTCTGTCTTAGCCCTGAGAAAATGTGCAAAATTGGCAGATAAAAGTATTATTTTTTGCTTGAGAAGTGTGCATAAAATACACGGTATTTTATGAGGAAGTGAAGCGAACGAGCGCCTCAGAGTCACCTGCATTAGTCCCTCAGAGGTGTCGGTGAAAGGCCGTCAGATGCGCTGGTGTGGGGTCCTCACAGGCGCCGTTGTGAGGGCCTTAGGGCTTAGAGGCACTGGTGGGGGCCATCAATTAGGCGTGTGTGGGGCCCTGAAAGTTAATGGTGGCCCTTCATAGGCCGGCAAGGGACCCTCAGAGGTCGGTAAGAGGCCCTCAGAGTCGCTGGTAAGTGACCGTCAGATGCATAGGGCGCTGCAGTGCATAGGGCCCGGAGCGGGTGGTGGGGCTCTCAGAGCCGCCGATGTAGGCCCTTAAGAGGCACTGGTGTGGGCCCTTAGAGGTGGCAGTGGGGGCCTTCGCAGGCGCCGTTGTAAGGGCCCTCAGAAACACCAGTGTGGGCCGTGGGGCCATAGCAAACGGGTATGGGGCCTTTACAGCTGATCCCTTATTGGACGGCAAGAGCCCTCAGGGCCGGCAAGGTCCATCAGAACCTGGCGTGAGGCCCTTCTGGAGATAAGTGTGGCTACACAAGAGCCCATGGGGTGTTCTCACAAGCCCTGTGGTCTCCTCTTCAGTTGAAGCGATGCCAGCGCGGGCCCTCTGTCGCCAATTGGCACCGCAGGGCCTCTCGGGCGCGAGGGGACCCTAATCCCTATAACGGACACGTGCCCCCTCGCCCCTGGCCATACCATTGAATCTGAGTGATAAAGGGCCGTTCAGGTAATCAGGGGCCTCTCACGTGACCAGGGGCCTTACAATTGACCAGGGACTTTCAATTGACAAGGGGTCTTTCAATTGACCAGGGGTCTTTCAATTGACCAGGGGCCCACCAGGTGACCAGGGGACCCTCTGATAACCAGGGGACGGTTATACCAGGGGCTCCACGGGTAACTAAGGGCCTTTATGTGACTGCAGGGGCCCTTCATATAACCAGGTACTCCCCGGGTAAACATGGGCTCTTCAGGTGACGAGGGTTTCTTCAGATCACTGGCCAGGGGATCAGGTGCCCCTCAGGTAGCTAGGGGCCCCTGATTAGATAGATAACTAGGGGACCCTCATATACCAAGAGGCCCCACTGGTAACCAGGGGCCTCTCAGATAATCAGTGGCTCTCAGGCAATCACGGGCCCCTTAGGTAGTCAGGGGCCCCTCAGGTAAGCAGGGGCGCTCAGGAAACCAGGGGCCCCTCAGATAACCAGGGGCCCCTCAGATAACCAGGGCCCCTCAGGTAACCAGGGCCCCCGTAGCCAGGGCCCTTCAGGTAACCAGGAGTTCTTCAGATAACCGGGGACCAATCAGGTAACCAGGCCCCCTCAGATAACCAGGGGCCACTTAGGTAACCAGGGGCCACTCAGGTAACCAGGGCCCCTCAGATAACCAGGGACCCTCAGGTGACCAGGGGGACCGTCAGGTAACCAGGGCGTCCCTCAGGGCCCCCATGGCCCCCTTGTGTACATCATTGCACTCAAGTGACCCAAAGGGCCCACTTGCATGTTTGATGCCAAAGGGGGAGGCCATGGCCTCTTGGCCTCCCCCCTGGATACGCCACTGATAGCCCTGTACTGTGGAATGACCGGATTATGTGAAATAAATAAATAAATAAAAGCGAAGATAACCAACAACTTGCATGAGTCGTTATATTCAATAAAAACCTGACCCTTATAAAACAAAAACAAGCGATTATAAGTTGGTAGCACAAAGGCCTATAACCATCAAATCGCAGTGCTGACTGTATGAGGGAGATATTACATACCAACTCCGGGCGGATCCTTCTCCGAGGTTCCGCCACTCCTGTGTGATACGACCGGCACCGGGGAGCCCATTCCGCCCCCATTCCGCCCACGCGGACAGCCCATTCCGCCCAGCCCACTTACTGGCGGAGTGGCGGTCCCTGGAGACCCCAGTCCGGGAGAGGGATGGTCGGCGCCGGCGGCAGTGACCCGGCTGACCCTAATGTCATATCGCCGCTCCCCCTGGGGACCGGCAGCCCACCCGGGTCACGTAGATCACCGGGAACGGCCCGTCGGACCGGGCCGTCGGACCGGGTCGGGCTCAGCTAACGTGGCACTGGTGATTTGAATGAGCGATATTTCACGACGCCAGGTGGCTGGTTAATGGACGGGCGCCATCAGCCGCCGCGCCGCCCCAACGAGGCCCACCACTCTTGTTCATGGAGCTGGTGTCTGGCGGGGTCGACAGCGGCCTGCTCGGCGGTGAAGGAAACACATTCCGGGAATGACTCACTGACAGCGGCCCCATTAGCTGTGAGACGCAGTGAGGCCCCCCTAAACCTGCAGTGTACATCCAGAGATAGCGAGACTACCGGCAGCGACTTTATGAAGCTATGCATATATAAAGCTCCGAGCTACGCGTTTATGCAAACGGAACCTCTCTGCGTTGGCGTGGTCGGCTAAGACGAAATGCCAATTAAAAAAAAAAGAATACTGAAACTTTATATATGCAAATTACGATCACAGTAGTATGCAATGGTCATTGATAATGGAAAATGTTCCTCGAGCAATGTAAAATCGTTGCTTCATTTAAACAATAAACATAATAAAAATACAACTTTATAAAACGAAAATAGAAGTAACTAATCTTAGCGGCCAAAGGCACACTTTCAAAAACAAACGCGGTATCGTTTGATATATGAAAGTCGTTTAGTATCTTATAAGTCGTTATTCAAAATCTACATAAGGCTAATCAACAACCTAAATCGAATGGCCTGAATGGCATGTAACAAAGGTGGAACTGTGACCCATTGTACTATAACCGCTAACCCAATTTACACCTGTTTGGTTTTTTGTTGTAGTTTTTGTTACACCTGTCCCGTGGCCCTGATCCCATTCAGCAAGAGCAGGTGTTCTATAGCACCTGTGACAACACTTCAGCTCCCTCTGTATCGTTCACAACTCAAACACTCGAACAATCGACCGAAGACCGCCACGGGTCCAAACACGTCCACACTCCGCAGCGGCGTCTCGAGTTTCAGCACACAGGCCCGGTGAGCTGTCAGGGCCGCGGCGGCCGTTCGACACTTTCCTAAATGGACTCTCCGACGCGTGCTTTGAGAGAAATTGAAGACAAACGGAGCCAAGTGGAGCTTTTACACTTTTCATTGGCACTTTGGTATCTAAGTAAACCTACAAATGTCTCTGAAAATATTTCCTTGGTTCCCTTCTCTATCTTCCAAAATGTATTGAAAATAATGGTCGATTATAAACCTACTTCAATGGTTCACTGAAAATTTCAGCTGGTTGACTTAGCTCATTTCTCATTAAAGCCACAACCGATTGACCGGTAGAGCCTGAACTTTCCGGCTGACAATGGTCCACCTGAAGCCCATTTGACAGAAGTGAACTCGCCTCGCCCACGCATACTATGACCTTTGACCCGGGACAACCCTGAGCCCGGTGGACATGTGTAATCCGATTTACAGAATTAGCTTGCCGGCAGCTCCACACTCCACATGCACCCTGCACAGCCACACATGGGTCACGCCGTCGGGGGAATGTGAGCTCGTAGTGAAGAATTACCTACGACAACTTCCGTGTAGTATGGCAATCTTAGCTCACGATCGTGCGACGGGCACCCAGTGTCCGTATTTAATGATCGATTGCTGCACAAATACGCTGTGATAACTGAGCTCGCACTCTTCAGAGGACATTAATGAGAAAAGATATGAGCCGGTAAATACATCTGGATCTACGCTACATGTTGGCATGTGGCACTACAGCGCTTTGGGTGATGGTTCAAGACTGTCCTTGTTGGCGATGTTGCAGTGCCCTGAGGATCGAATGACCCATCAGTAGTGATGCCGCAAAGCCGAAGACCACAGAACCAATCGAAAGTGATGTGGCGGAGCTCCGAAGGCTGAAGGACGTATCTTCGGATGGGATGTTGGGCTGCTGAGTACCAAAGAAACTAGAAACCTCCGGTGGTGACAGTGCCGGCAGCCCCCTGCCCTCCTCCGCGAAGGACCTACTTATGGGTATTTACTATTTACAACAGTGCACCCCCTCTCCTCCCGGACCCACCGATGGTGGTGACCACGGTGGCCGAGAAGAAGAAGCTCTGGCCGAAGCTCCAGTTGGAGCCGGTGGAGATGTTCTTGGAGGCCGATACGCCGCGGTTGTTGGCGAGCACCACCTCCGTGATGAGGTCCTCCAGGGCCGACTCTGCCGGCAGAGGGACGCGTCAGAGCGGGCTGTGAATGAACCTCAACTGTGTGGAGGCTAGTGATGTCAATTACGGAAAATCGGAATATCGATACCAAACCAAATACCAACCAAACCGTAGAGAAATACCAAAAACCAAACCAACTTGGGAACATGAGGAAAATACCAATTTTTTACATATTTCTTAGCCTCTTAAACATTAGCGATGGTTCATGACACCAACAAAATACCGAACACATTAGGATTGAAATACCAAATACCGAGTTGGTATCGGTTTGGTATCGGTATACCAAAAAGTTGGTATCCGATTGACATCTCTAGTGGAGGCCCTCCAGTGAAGACCCAGAGCGGGATGACAGTATATCACATCTGTGGCGACTCCAGCGCCGGCGCGAGGATATGTAACGGAGCGGGCCTTAGATATCGCGTCGGCAGCTTAGGATACTCGGCACAGTTGTCAAGAAGTCATGTATATGCTTGACCATACTGGATGTGAGCAGCACAGTTAATTGTATGAAAGTGTATTATGAGAAGACCTTGTATACTGCCTACTGCTGGTGAACAAATTATTTTGCATTCTTCAAAGGCGTCATATTATTTCCTTCACTCCAAAGCAAACTGGAATATCATCCGATTTATATATTTTTCCAGTCGACCTCAAGTCGAGCAGACTTGTGGGAAAATAGCTGATGAGAAGACCCTAACATTGGAGATAGGTGCTAAGACCTCAAATCCAAAACGACGCTTTACCTTGACTTGATTCATATACAAAAGCAATGGCACTTCTCCTCCGTTAAAAAGAAGAGACCAACGACAGCGTACAGGAATGTGAAAGCGTATTCTTGAATGACTAACCATTTTTTGTACGTAGTAATAAAGCATCGGTATAGGTCGCGAAGCCTTTGAAAGCAGAAATTTAGCTTATAAAATCCCTGTCAGGTACATCTTACAGCTTCCCCTTTTTTTACAAACACTTAACAGGAAACTGCACGCTTGTCTTGCAGCTTGACTCGTTACTGTCAGTGAGTCTAAATAAACATTGAAAGTAGAGAGCTTCACCCTACAAATTGCGGTAACTTACCACTTCTGCAGATTTCTGCAGATTTATTGCCCACTCTATGAGTGTTTTCGCTCCCACTAATGGCAAGGCAAGCGATTTCCCAAATCAGTTTGATGTACTTGCTTGCAGTTACGTCAAAACTTTCCACATTTCGGACCTGAAAGTAGGTTTGTCCACCAATCGAGTGGAACAACGCATTGAAGCACTGATTCTGAGGCCGCCACTGAGGAAGCCAACTAGGAGCATAAACCGGTCGCCTGGCCAAGTTCCGTGGCCTAATCGGCCGTCCGAGATTTGTTCAGAGCTGTTGGTCGGGGTTGGGCGCGGCTACGTCTGCAGTCCTAAGGCCAGTGACTGCAGTCAGTGCGCTAACTTCAACTGAAACTCGGACTCTCCGCAGAGCCAGACGAGGGTGACAGAAGGGATAACTGTCCGTACAGCATTTCGGACAACGGCCCCACGACAAAGTATCACTCGTGCATAAGGAGTAAAGGGTAATTTAGGGCGGCGAGTGTGCGTTATGTGATTGAGTTAGCATTTGTCTTCAAGGGTCTTCAAGTTACGGGTCGAGGGAGGCTAGAAGTTGATGTTTTATGGTAAAGTTCAGCGTCGTGTGCTATGGTATGTTATGTATGTATTGCATAATGCATATCAAATGTGCCTGGACTGGAATATTGAAATTTGTGTAATTCACCTAATTCGTGCTATAGCATAGGTCGGAAATGAGAAAAATGTCATATCCTTTCCGTTGTCAATCTTACATCAAATCGCAACGAAAAAAATTTGCTTGCATCTTAAGCCCATAGCTCATTCATATCAGCATGTAACATCTTTAAAATAAACTTATAGGACCCGAAAGCTGATGGTTTGTGCACGATTCCCCATAATGACCCGCAGCAGTATTTATGGCCTTGCCCACAGCTAAGTACAGGTAATTAATTACCCACATTGTCCCTCGCGCTCCCTTCTTACATCCGACAGCTCTCTCCCTGCCACTCCCTCCCTCTCCCCTGCCGCTTCTCTCTCTCCCTGCCACTCCCTCCCTCTCCCTGCCGGTCCTCCCTCTCCCCCGCCGCTCTTCCCTCTCCCCTGCCGCTCCTCCCTCTCCCTTGTCGCTCCTCCCTCTCCCCTATCATTCCCTCCCTCTCCCTGCCGCTCCTCCCTCTCCCTGCCGCTCCTCCCTCTCCCTGCCGCCTCCCTCTCCCCTGCTACTCCCTCCCTCTCCCCTGCCGCTCCTTCCCTCTCCCCGTCGGACGCACCTGGCACACACTGATTATCCTCCAGGAACTGGCTGATGCGCTCGTTCAGTTGGCTCCGCAGTCTGTCCTCTGCGGGTTGCTCCAGAAACGAGAACACGGCGGCGCCGGCTGCCAGCCACGCCACGTATAGACACGTGCCCAACAGCAGCAGGCACGTGCTGCGCCGCAGGCACAAACAGCGGCGCACGTGCGCACGTGGCGCGCCCGAACGCGAGTCGTCCAGCGGCACGTAGTGACCCGTCGCCATCGAGAGCTGGTCGTGCATGGTACGGGAAGAGTCCGTCTGGGAGGTATGAAGTTTTAACTGCCGATGCCCTGAATCCTCTCCTAGTGAAGCAGCTCAACTTGAGGACACCACACCTGGTTAGGCGGAGTGAGACGGCATCCAACAGAGCCGTGCCGATCGGATCAGACTCGAGTGGCCCCTCGTGATTAGCACTCGGGTGTGACAGTCCTCCAATGGTTCTTGTGCATGCACGGAGTCACAGCAGCAATACACGGCCGGCCTGGGTCTCACCCGCCCGCCAACTAGAGCTCTCAGGTGCTATCGTGTGGTCACTTGCAGATAACAGCGGGCTCTCAGAGCACACCACAACGACCAGCCGTTTTCGATGACGTCACTGAGGTCTCTGAGAATGACGTCACTGTTCGGTGCTCACTGCAAAGCTTCAGGCACTAAGCCTGGCCAATAACGCCGTCTTCACACGTCGTCACAGCAGTGAAGTTGCGCTTTCCTCAGAGCGCTATGGTAGAGGCGTTCCAGCCCTTCATTCACAGAAGCGCTCGGGCTCTTCACTGTTGAGGTGCCGGTGCCTACGGCTGAAGACCCTCACGTGCTACTGACGTGCGACACCGGCAGTGCTCCGCCCACAGACACTCGACACCCGACACCCGACCCGGGCAGTCCGTCTGTCCGTCTGTCTGTGTGTGTGCCGCTGTGTGTGTGTGTGCGGTCCCGCCGCGTCGACACCGTTTTTTCCTCCGCGTGAGCCTGGACCGGACCGGTCACGTGACCTGCACCTGAGCCGGGTGATGGGTAACGGGTTACACTGGAGGCTTGGCATGGAGTTTCCGAGGCCTTATAACTTTCGAAGATAATTGGAATGAGGCCGAATGTAATATATGGAAGGAAATGGATGCTCAGTAAAGAGACTTTCGTGTAAAATTTAAGTCACATCTCAAGCACTTTTTGTCGTTCCATCAACTATACTCTGTAGCCAATAAAACACGATTTCGTTCCCACCCGTTCCCGTTGCTCCACTAAGAACACAAGCAAACACAGAGTACAAAACACTGATAAGCTCACTATCGCGCCTAAAGAAACAGCCAAACACGGACACATGTCACAGTAAACCACACGGAGTGAGCGAAGCACTGCAAGAGTTCACGCAATATGCAAGGAAATATTAAGAAAATAGGCAATAAACTTTTCAGTTGCCTGGTGGAATATCAATTAAAACACCTTTCCTAAGAAGGTAAGTAAAAAATGTTGAGGAATCCATTTCCATCAGCTGCATAAGCTTTGCATTTTGTATCGATGAAACCAGGGCACTAAAGATGTAACGTTACGGGAGACAAATTAAACACGTCAAAAAGGCAACTATAGCTACGTTTCCATGACACAATCTAAGCCGATTTTGAAAAAGGATTTGCTCCATCATAGCATTTAGGCGTAATTTGAAAATGTAAATATAGGATTAGGTGCTATAGTTCGTTTTTCTTAAGTTTGCCCCTCACTGTAAACGTCTTTTTGAACACAGCACGAGAATTGCTAGCTGAATTACTGAGAAAACTGGTTGGCGCACATTGTATTGGAGATATGAATAATATTTTCAAAATAAGTTTTGAACACCGACGATGTAACGTTAATGTTAAACGCCGTGCAATTTATTAATTAGTTCAGACATAATTCCTGAGAAGTCGTCTATCACTGTGGAGCTGTAGGTATTGGTAATTACGAGCTATGAGTCTGTGAAATAGTAAACAAATTTGATCAAATTGATCGTCTGTGAAATCTAGTGAAATCAATGTGCGCCAGCCAGTTGTCTCAGTAATTCAGCTAGCATTCTCGTGCTGTGTTCAAAAAGACGTTTACAGTGAGGGGCAAGGGGGCAAACTTAAGAAAAACGAACTATAGCTAAAACCATATCTACGCGCATTTTTTGCATAAGGTAAATAGTTTCCGAGAAAAAACGCACGTGAAATTTCGCTAAATCGATTTAGACGTGTCATGGAAACGTAGTGTATGTGGAGTTTGTCCGTGGCCGTATCCTGTTGTCACGTGGATTGTGGAATCTACACACTACGTAACCAATGCACGTCCAAGCCTAAATGATTTATTTTTGCCAGAAATGTTAAACTCCGGTTAAAATGAAATTCAAATATATAAAGGGACTGACATCAAAACAGGGTCGGGAAATGCACGAATACTTTTAAAACACCTGATAAAATAATAGGTTCTTTTCATGTGATTATTCAAATGAATAAATTCCAACCTTATTGCTACATAACAATGACCTCACTTGAGGTCACGACTGACAGATTGCCGAATCAATCGTAAGAAACAGGTCATAGCTCACACTCCACAGGTTAATGGGTCATGGGTCACAAACACAGGTCATTGTGTCATGGGTCACAAACACAGGTCATCAGGTCAAGGGACACAGATACAGGTCATGGGT